AAAAAAAAAAAAAAAAAAAAAAAAAGATTGACATACAGGCTGGGCCTGGTGGCTCATGCCTATAATCCCAGCACTTTGGGAGGCCAAGGTGGGCAGATGATGAGGTCAACAGATCAAGACCCTCCTGGCCAACACGGTGAAACCCCGCCTCTACTTAAAACACAAAAATTAGCCAGGCATGGTGGCACGTGCCTGTAGTCTCAGCTACTTGGGAGTCTGAGGCAGGAGAATTCGTTTGAACCTGGGAGGCGGAGGTTATGGTGAGCTGAGATTGCGCCACTGCACTCCAGCCTGGCAACAGAGCGAGACTCTGTCTCTAACAGAAAAAAAAAGGACATAAAATGGCAAGGAGGTATGTGAAAAAATGCTCAACATCCTTGATCATCAAAGAAATGCAAATCAAAACTACAATGATATATCATCTTACCCGAGTAAAAATGGCTTTTATCCAAAGACAGGCAATAGCAAATGCTGGCAAGGATGTGGAGAAGAGGGAGCCCTCTCATACACTGTTGGTGGGGATGTAAAGTACAACCACTGAGGATAACAGTTTGGAGGTTCTTCAAAAAAATAAAAATAGAGCTACCATATGATCCAGCAATCTCACTGCTTTCCAAAAGAAAGGAAAGCAGCATATTGTAGATATATCTGTATTTCCATGTTTATTGTGGCACTATTCACAACAGCCAAGATTTGGAAGCAACCTGTGTCCATTGATAGATGAATAGATAAAGAAAACGGTGGAAAACTATTCAGCCATAAAAAATGAGATCCTGTCATTTGCAACAAAATGGATGGAACTGCAAGTCATTATTTTAAGTGACGTAAGCCAGGCACAGAAACACAAACTTTGTATATTCTCACATTATTTTTTTGAGATGGAGTTTGCTCTTGTTAACCCGGCTGGAGTGCAATGGCAGGATCTCAGCTCACTGCAACCTTCGCCTCCTGGGTTCAAGCAATTCTCCTGCCTCAGGCTCCTGAGCAGCTGTAATTACAAGTGCTCACCACCACACCTGGCTATTTTTTTCTATTTTTAGTAGAGACAAGGTTTTAACTATATTGGCCAGGCTGGTCTCAAACTCCTGAACTGAGGTGATCCACCTGCATCAGCCTCCCAAAGAGCTGGGATTACAGGTGTGAGCCACCGTGCCCGGCCTATTCCCACTTATTTGTGGGAGGTAAGAATTAAAATAATTGAACTTACAGAGATAGAGAGTAGAAGGACCTGACCTGGGTGTAATGGTTCATGCCTATAATATCAACACTTTGAGAGGCTAAGGCAGGAGGATCACTTGAGCCCAGGAGTTTGAAATCAGCCTGGGCAACATAGTGAGACCTTATTTCTACAAAAAAATAAAATAAAATTAGCCAAGTGTGATGGTTCATACTTGTACTCCCAGCTACTTGGGAGGCTGAGGCAAGAGGATTGCTCGAGGTTGGGAGGTAGAGGTTGCAGTGAGTCATGATGGCCCCACTGCACTCCAGCCTGGGCAATAGAGCAAGACCTGTTTCAAACAAACAAAAAGTGTAGAAGGATGGTTACCAGAGGCTGGAAAAAGTAGTAGCGGGGAGTAGTTAGTGGGGAAATGAGGATGGTTAATAGGTATTAAAAATAGAGGCCGGGCACAGTGGCTCACGCCTGTAATCCCAGCATTTTGGGAGGCCGAGGCGAGTGGATCACGAGGTCAGGAAATCGAGACCATCCTGGCTAATATGGTGAAACCCCATCTCTACTAAAAATGCAAAAAATTAGCGGTACATGGTGGTACGCGCCTGTGCTACTCGGGAGGCTGAGGCAGGAGAATCGCTTGAACCCGGGAGGCGGAGGTTGCAGTGAGCCGAG